ATTTTTCCCTTGTCCTCTTCTTCCATTGCTTTCTCAACTCCTTCTAGCATGAGCTGTGCCATGTTGAATCCCACAATATCCATCACCTCTACTTTCATTGTCTCATGTTTTAAGAGGTTAATTATGTTTCTATACTTTGTGGAAGATTTCACCAAATCACTTTTACTCTTAGGAACAAAGTCCTTAAAGTACTTCATAACTAAACTGAAAACAATCTGTCTTCTCACTGGGAAGTCATCATGTTTCCCCAAAAATGCAGTAATGAAAACAGAAAAACACAAACTGCATTCACAAAAATCAAAGAAATACTGACTTTACTGACCAATTTTTTTTAAAAAACTGACAAATTACTGACCAAGATGAAAAAACTGACTTTTACTGATTTTACTGACTATTTTCCACCCCTGCAGACTTTTCCTCCAGCTGACTGACAACTTGATGACCAAATAGAATAATACCGTCCTAAGGCTGTTGCGTTTTGAGTCAGAAGTGCTATTTAGAAAGCAGTATTCTTTCTCAGCAACTTACTTATGGACAAAATAGAAATAAGGAAAAGAAAGGAGCATCGCTTAAATTGGCCCTACAATTACACACTACAGAGAAGAACACTTATACCTGAGTACCCCTTTTCTTCCTGGGCAAATTTCTTTTATATCATAATGATCACTCAACAGAGCTGAAGAAAAAGAAAGACATATACAAAACAAATGGAAACATGGATGTTGGGGGGTTTGTGTGTAATACCTTCATGTCCCCCTCACAAATGCTTTCCCATTCGTTTACACAGACAAGATCTTTCCATACCACTCACAGGCATCACTTTTGTTGTTGTTGTTGTTGTTATGTTTATGATTTTGGCTTTTTATATGCCCCTCCCGCACTTGTTAGTTTCTTTCCTCTCTGTGCTGATGTTTGCACTCCACCATTGCTATTTTTTTAAAACATTTTATTTTCAGTTTCCCCAAATCATAAATTAATCCAAACAAATCCATTTAAAATTCCTGCATTTCCAAATGCAAAGTTTATCTTTCTAAATTAACAATTATTATTTTAACTAGCATTTCCCATTCCTAATATCTCTTCTTCATATTCAGCCAGTCATATATTCTTTCCCATCTCTTCCAAAAGTCTTCCTCAGGCTTTTTCTGTAACCTTATAGACAATTTATCCATTTCAGCTACTCTAATATCTTATTTTGAAGTTCTCTTATCGTAGGTATATTTTTTTATTTCCAACGCCTTGCTATCAATATTCTGGCTGCAGTTAGAAAATATGTAATTATTTGTGTATAATTTTTTATTTTGTCCGGAATCATGTTTAGCAACCATATTTCTGGTTTTATTTTGAGGGTTACTGTGGGTTTTCCCCCCAACATCAATATTTTACTGATTTTATAGCTCTAAGGCTTGGATCCACTGACACTGTTCCCCCTGTTCTTCTCTACAGCTGCTGCAGTGGTTGCTTCCTTCCAGTCTCAACCCCAAAAGGCAGTCCAGATGGACAGATGGTATAAAAAACACTGAGATGTCCAGCAGAATTAACAGGGTCATACTCCCCCTGTCCATCTCCCAGTGCAGGTCATCCAGCAGGGCAACGAAGGCCATTTCAGTCCCATGACCAGGCTCAAGACTAGTTATTTTAAATGCATAACTGTTTCAAAATAAGTGCACACACATGCTGTTCACCAGCCATTCTCAGGTATATACAACATCCATATATGGTCTAACAGGTGATGAGACTGAGATAGTGCTACCTATTCCTGTTTGAACCCCTTCCCACCAACAACTCATAGCTCTGTCTCTTTGGCCTTTAGTACTCAGTTTTCTAACCTTCTGAGAAGCTGGAATGCAAGCATTCCATAACATCTCAACAGGCAGGTCAATGGTCACTGAGAACATATCAAGCTAGGTCTATGACAGTCCATAGCTACACGGCTATACCTTGTGTTTAACTACGTTTTTTAAAAATAGTTTCTTGAGCATATCATTGCTTTTAATCAATTATGCAGGCATCTAACCAAGCCAGAACAGAATAAATCTTCATTAGGGTTAGATAAATGTAAGCATGTCTTCTTAAAACTAGATTGAAATGAATATTATGCATAAGCCAAAAATAAATGAGAGTCTGTGTTACCTAACAAATACTACTGCAAGGTCACACTAAGAAAACTATCACCTAGTCCTGAAATCCCACTGATTTTCAACCTGAGGCTTGTAATTACTTTTATTTATTTATTATTTATTTATTAAATTCAACTTGTTAGGCCTCCCTTCCCCACAGCAGGGCTCCAGGCGACTTACATCTAAACCAACACAATAATAATCCATTAAGTAACATTAAAAACTACTAAAAACAATATATTAATCAAACAGTACATTATGTTGTCTAAGATGACAAGAAATTTCTGTTCCCATCAGCCCCCTGGGTAAAGGGGGTGCAGAGGGATGAGTAGGAGGGTATGAGTGTGCCAACTGTCACTGTCCTCAACCAAATGCCTGGTGGAACACCTCTGCCTTGAATGCCCTATGAAAAGGTAATAAATCCTGTAGGGCATGGATATTATCAGGCAGAGAGTTCCACCAGGCAGGGGCACGGGCTGAAAAGGCCTTGGA